GCACAGCTGCAGTGACCTGGGCAGAAGTGATATCCTGGGCACAGCCAGAGGCACCACTCACACTCAGAACTCTTCATGGATTTCAAGGCTCTGTCCAAAAATGTTCTGGGAGGCAAGCTGAGCCCGGTAGGCTCCATTCCAAATTCTGAATTCATCTTCCTGGGAGACAGCAAGAGGCTAAGAAGGTTTCTGAGGGCAGCTGCTGGCTCTCGGAGCAAGAGCACCAACAGCCTGCGTGGAGGATGAGTGGAGGCAAGGCTGCTCAAGGGACTCCCAGCTGGAGACATGCCCACGCCTGCCACCTGCGCCTGGTCTAGCCTTGGGTATGGTGCTGAGTGTGCTGGCTAGTCTCCGAATGCAGCCAGGGCTGGGGAGGGTCCTAAGAACAGCCCCTGCTGGGACAGCCACGCTCCTGACTCCCCAGATCTCCCTCACAGCCTTCTGCCAAGTTGGATGAAGAGAGAACTGGTGTGGTGAATGGAAGAGAGCGGTGGTCATCAGAGCTGCTCAGATGTAGCAGATCAAGAGACCAGGTGACTCTGCCCACTTCTTGCAAAGGGGCTGAGGACACTGCCTTCAGCCCCTCCTGGAGGCACTCGGAGGCCAGCCAGAATAGAGGGTTAAGCAGCCAACCAAACAGTGTCAGACTCGGTTCAGACTCAGCCCTGCCCCACAGCGGCTCTCCGTGACCCAGACCACTGTCTACTCTTTCCTAGCCAGCCTCTCAGCAGCACACCTGCCCAGATCTGGGCTCAGCCTCTTCTAGCCCTAGAATCCCCTAGGCCCTGACCCTTCTACTGGAGGAGTAAACAGGGGGAGCTGGGTTGTCTCTAGCTCTGGATGCTAAGGCAAAGGACTGGCCAGACCTCCCCCAAGGCACTAATGGAAGCCAGACTACCCTGGGGAGGGTGAAGCCTTCTCAGCAAGTGCTGGAGGACACCGGGAAAGTCCCTAGCAGCACTCACTATCTATCTCAGCTGAGGCCTCTGAAAAGCAGAGCCGGAGGCAAAGATTAGGTGCCAACACTCCATTTAGAAGCTATAAGCCCAGGGCAACGAGAGTTAGGAGAAAGGAGGGAAGAAAGCAAGGACAGATGTGGCACGCAAAGCCACCATGCTGCCACACAGCCCAACAGGATGGTTGGACAGCCGACATAGCTCCCTAGATCTCAGAAGGGATCTCCAGTAGGTGTGCAGAGACTGCACATTTTGACTCCATCCATAAGGGGAAAGAGGAGATAGGATTTGCCCTCTCAGTCCCTCCCTCTTGCCCACCACTGGCTGGGGTTTGTCTCTATAGGCAACTAGCCCTTTCCTGCTCCCTTGAGTTTGCATATCACACTGGTGTGTCCTTGTAGAAAGCCAGAGCTCAGAGTCAGTGTGACATGTTCGTTGAGTCCAGAATGACAGGTAGGGCATGAAGCTGGAGATCCAGACAGGAGTCTGAGAAGCAGCCATGTCCATCCCATCCGGAGACCCGGTGGCTCATCCGGGGATCTCGTGGCTGCAGAGGGTTGCAGGCCCGGAGGGCAGAAGCCACTGTAGTGAGTGCTCCCTGTTTCCATTGCTACGGTAGCATTTGGAGCTACACGGACCCTGATGAGCCAAACACGAAAACCTTAGAGGCCCCAGACTCTTCTCAGCCCAAAGGAAAGCGGCAGCATTCCAGGGTCGTCCTGGGAAGAGTAGTACCCTAGATCTGCAGGTTCCCCATGAAAGGGCAGGGAAGAAGGGTTGTGCCCACCCAGCACTGCACAGCTGCCTTGAAGCACTCTGACATTTGAGTTCTTCTTCTTCTTTTAACTGAAAATACTGGAACATGGTGCTGTTTAGAAGGAAAGCATTTTTCTACTGAGGAAATCCCGAAGTCTCCACTGATGCTGCCATCCAGCATAGGGCACCATGTATTACATGTGTTTTATGATCTCCCTCTCCCCCTCCCTCCCTCTCTCTCACACACACATCACTAAACAAACTTCTGCGTCTCACGTGAGTGCCATCTCTTCTCCTGTCCACTCTTCACTGACACCCATTTTGTTTTAGTTCACGGATGACGTCAACAGTGCACTACCAAGCACCTCTGCAGCTACAGCCGCCTGAACCCGCCTGAGGATAAACGCCTATGGACAGGGGGCTGGGTCCTCTGGAAGGCTCCTGCTTCATGTTGCCAGTGGCCACATTATGAAGACCGTTTGCCCACGGTGTTCCCCAACACTTCTCTTTATGTTTCTCTCTGTGTGTGGTATGTATACATACATGTGGCAGTGGTACACATGCACACACACAACTCTCTCTCTCTCTCTCTCTCTCACACACACACACACACACACACACACACACACACACACACACACACACACGCGTAGAGGCCAAAGACTGACTGCTGGGTGCCTTTCTTTATCATGCCCACTTTATTTTTTGAGATCTCTTGCTGGACCTAGAGCTTTCCAGTTGAGTAAACTAGCTGGCTAGCTGGGCCCTGGACTCTTCCTCTCTCCGGCTTTCAGCACTGGGATTATAGGTATGCACCCCCACCCCTGGCTTTCTGCAGCTTACATGCAAGCACTCTAACCACTGAGCCATCTCCCCAGGCCCAACACTGTGTTTAGTGCTGCTAAAGCTTGATCTACAAAATTATATTTGTCTCGCTTAACTGACTGAGAAACTTGGGCTCAGGGAAGTCGAACTGCCTTATCCAAGAGCTGGTAAATTGCTGGCAAGAAAGCCCGCAAAGAACATGCTTTAAGCCTCAGAACTGGGGCTGGGCAGGGAGTTTGGGGTGTCTCCCCCCAGGAAAGGCTTTCCCCAGGGTACTGGAGGTAGGGTGCCATGCATTCTACCTGTGATGCTTCGGGCTGCTCATCCTCATTTGGTCCCCGTAGCAGTTCAGGAGCCTTGAATGGCGCAGCCTCTATGTGAGAAACGTGGTCTTGGAAAGAAAGACTCCCAGCTGCTGAAAGCAGGAGTGACCAGGGGCAGACCACATAGTCCGAGGAATCTGGAGAAGAGGCAATGGTGGGGTGTAAGACGGGGCCACTGTGCCAAAAGTCACTTGCTTCAAGGACTGATTCTGACCAAGGCCTATAGCGGCACAGAGCAGAATAAATTCCACCCAGCACATAGAAATGTGTGTTGCAAAAGGTAGTTGTAACTGTGGACAAGAATTTAGCACCTGCGTCTGGATCTGTCTAGGACCGAGAACTTTAAAGTAAAAGATCAAGAAAGGTCAAGACCAGCTGGAAACTGGTGCAGAATTGAGTTCATTGCAGCTGAGTCAGGGCACGGCTCTATAGTAGTTCAGATCCCCCAAGGCAGGGGACAGGAGTGGGAGCTCAGGAGGAAGAGAAGCTAAGGCATGGGTGTGCAGCCTTCCTCCACTGGCTGACACGGGGACCCGGCACCCAGGGGGAGCCTGTGTGCTCTCACATGCCCTGATCCATGCACTGCGGCTGCTAAGTCAATACCTGCCGACAGCACACCTCACAGCTCCAAACTGCCTTTCCATCCCAGCTCCTTTAAGCATCTCTGCTATCAGCACTAGCACATTCTTCTCAGAAGAGGCACTGCAGAGACTTTGCAGGAAGCAGGGGCTCTCCTGCCCTGTCTGGGAGCCAGTGGTATGAATACAAAAAGACCAGGCAGGGGCACCTCTGTCCTGGACTCAGCCACAGGACATGACAGTCCTTGGATACCTCAAGTCCTGGCCTCACCCCGTGACCACTTTCTCATGGACCTGTCCACGTAGAGCTGCAGGCTCCAGTCTTCCTGCCCACACACCATCAGCCTGTTCACCTGCGCGTGCCCACATTCCAAAGGATCACTCCTGACTTCCAGGCCCTCTGAGCCATCACCCGACGATTGCCTCATTGCTGGGCCATGACTGTAGACTACCTCTGGCCAGGTCATCTAGAGACCCTCATCATCATGAGCTACAAACACAGCTCCTCCATCAGGACAAAACCCAAGCCAAGGAGTGGCTTGTCCCTCACTGGGGACTTGTCCTTGGCTAGGGGTCCATAGAGGATTTTCTTACATCTTCATTCTCTCCAAATCACAGTTTAGTGATTTTCAAGTTAACTTCCCTTGCTTAGACCACAGTGTAGGTTCTGCCTTTGGATGGGACAGGATAGTAGAGCATCTGACTGATGGAGTGTGGGGACATCCCAGGGATGGGTGCCACTGGTCTCTCTGTAAGCACCATGCAAGCCCAAAGCAGAAGTGCAGCCTTTCAACTGTTAGCATGGCATAGGCCTTGGAGACAGGCCACCCCTCAGTAGCTGCCTGCTGGGGACCATTTGTTCTTTTGTTCTAAAAGCTTAGGATTGATCACAGACCAAGAAGCTGCCAGAAGGAAGTTTAAGAAACTTCACTTTCAATTTCCTAGGACAGTTGTCCTCTTACCATTACGGAGGTCTTCCAGGAGCCGCTCAGCAGCCAGTGACAAGAGGGACCAGATTTCCTCTTCTGACAGAGCTTCGCCCCGGACCTGCAGGGCACTGGCAAGTGTCACAGAAGCCGCACTCATGCCTGTGAAGACAGAGTTCTGCAATGCCCCATCTCTCCAGCTACATGGTAGTGCGGGTTCACCCTGCTCTCATTGCCTGAACTTCCAAAGCACAGGGCAAGCAGAGAGGAGAATTAGAGGTGTTCACTGCACCTAGCCAGACAGGCCGGTGGCTTCTCAGTAAATGAGCAAATAACTGGATCGATCTATCAGCTATCAGATGAGAAGCTGAAGAAATGGATGAAAGACAAGTGACACATAGTAAGTACCCCTCCTCCGGGAGAGCTCACTATACCAGGGAGTGTTCAGAGCCTGCTCTTCATCTCTGTCTGGTAAACCAGATGGACAACCATTTTAGCCTGAGATACACAAGTATGCCTTTAGTCATTAGCTGCCACCACAGAGCTGGCTACAGTGCCAGGGCAGGCCCTTCTGTCAGCTCTTGCAGTGGGAATCCCCCCAAAGAGAACAAGAACCTGAATTTCAGAGCAGAAAGGACACACAGGGAAGCTGGAGGAGGTGCCACCGCCAGGAGAGTGGCTCTCTTTCCTTCTAGAAGGATCCTTTAAACCAAAGCTGACATTTCAACCCCTCCCCGCCCCACCCCCACACACACACAAAGATGCCCTCACTAATCTCCCAAGCCCTGCTGGATGCAGCTGGAAGACCCAGGCTGCAGCTTTTTCTAATCTGTTTATGGTTGCAGAGCTTTTTCTACAGCCAGAGCCTGGAAGGTAGGTGTACCAGGCAGGTTGAGTAGGGAGCCCACAGGCACCCCCACTCCCCTGGTGCTAAGCAAAGCTATCTCCTCACCAGCTGCTCAGCACCCTGGGGCATGGAGGCAGACTCCTGGCTCTTCCACCTGGACACCTGGCTCCTAAAGACATTTGACCTGTGAGATGTGATCTGTCAAAAGGAGTCTGTGAGGGCAACTAAGGTCTCCAGTTACAGACAAGAAAGCAGTCCCAGCAGCCAGGTGAATATCTGAGGTGTTCTGGTTATGCTCAATTGATAACACGCTGTCTGTGTTCATCAGAATCGCACCGTACCCATATTTATATAATTAAATGCATCAGTTAAAATTTCCTGGAGATTAATTAGGACTCAGCCCAGACCCTCTCCTTTCTTCTTTCTTTTCCTCTCTGCTCCATTATTTTCTCTTTCTTTTGCCTTTTCTCTTTTTAAAAGTGTCATAGAACTATGGACTAAATATTCCCATTTAGCCATAAGTTTCTAACTCTGTAATGACAGTGAATAATTTTTATCAAAGAAAAGGGAGAAATGCCCTGATTCTCAGACAGAAAACCTCAAAATCCCAGAGGGAGCCAAGACTAGAAGAAGAAAAACAAGTGCAGTGTAAGCCTGCTCTGCAGGTGGCGGCTAGTTGAGACCATCTCTTCTTCAATGCAGCAATTCTGAGGAGAAAGGACAGCTTTCAGCAAAGAACCATGGGTCCTTCCTAGGAACCCTGAGCAATGGCCTAAATCTCACATCTTTACAAAACTTAGTTCAAAGTGGGTCATAGATTTCATATAGTGCACAAAACTATACACTTTCCAGGAAGCAGAAAAAACGCAGGGACTAAGACTGGGTAAAAGGTTTTGTGAACCTGAGCATGATCTGCAAAAGGATGTTTAAGTGATAAGTAGGACTTCATTGAAATTGATTTTTTTTTTTTTGCTCTGAGAAAAATCTCATGAAGAGTATGAAAAAGCAAATTATATTAAGATAAAATGTTTTAAAATCACGTATCAGAAAAGACACACATATTTAGGGTGTTTTTTTGTTTTGTTTTTTTGGGGGGTTTTTTTGTTTTTGTTTTGTTTTTTTTTTTTTGGTTTTTTGAGACAGGGTTTTTCTGTGTAGCTTTGGCACCTTTCCTGGAATTCACTCTGTAGCCCAGGCTGGCCTCGAACTCACAGAGATCGCCTGGCTCTGCCTCCTGAGTGCTGGGATTAAAGGCGTGTGCCACCACTGCCAGCCTAGGGTGTCTATTTTTAAACCCTCAGAACTCATCAATAAGAAAACAGATTCAGAGAGAGCTCGGTGGCCAAAAGCTCTTGCTGCCCAAGCATGAAGACCTGAGTTCGGATCCTCAGAACACATGTAAAAGTTGACTGTAACATACAAGTCTATGATTACCTGTAGCATGATGAGAGGTACAGACAAACAAATACCCAGAAGTTAAAATGCCAGCTAGCCTATTGTACAGAGGCAGCACCATCTGGGGTGGGGTGGACCCTACCTCAAAAAGGAGGAAGTTGAGGACCAATGCTAAAGTCATCTTCTGACCTATTTGCACATGCCAGGGTAAGTGCATGCTCACACTCACCCACATGAGCACTTCCTCAGATGTACAAACACACACAAGAAAATAAACAGTATAATTAGAAAATGACACAGTCATTTCCCCGAAGATATTTACATAGATACCAAATTAAACCCATGAAAATATATTAAACATCATTAGATATTAGAGAAATGCAAATTAAAGCCACAATGATGTGATACTGCATACCCATTGGAATTACTAAGACAAACATTTGTCACAACCCCAAATGCTGGTGAGTATGCATAGACGCCAGATCCCTCACACTGCCAGTGAGACTGTGAAGCGGACAGGTACACTGGAAAACAGTTTGTTAGTATCTTACAAAATTAAACACGCCATTGCTATATGACCCAGCAACAGCACTCTTGTTCATTTAATAGAAGAACAAGAGAAATTCATGCCCACAAAAACCCACCTGTGAGTTGGCTCAACAAGCCACCTTGGAAAAGCAGTTAGCATGAACAGGTAAATCTGAACATTCATGTAAACACACGTGCTCACACACAATCGGGTACCAACCTAAGTGTGGATACTCTGCTCACGGGCTCTCATTGGAGTTGGTGGCCTCAGACACAATGTGTGTGTACATGCATACACATATATTGGCTGAGACAATCTCAAAATTCAAACAGTGCATGTTAATATTCTGATCCTGCCCCTTGGTGCCACCCTATGCCCTGATGTAGAAGCCTATTATTAAGGGAAAACTCTGCCCCTTCCTCTCTTTTCTCTCTCTTCTGCTTTCCTCCCACGAGGTGTGCACCTCTCAAACCCCTCACCTTCCTCTCTATCTCTCTATCTATCTCTATTATCTCTATCTATCTATCTATCTATCTATCTATCTATCTATCTATCTATCTATCTATCTTCCCGTCCCCTCATCTCTCTACTGTAATAAACCATTTCCCTGCGGGTGCAGCGTCTGGGTTGTGTGTCTCCACCCACCGCCCCGCAGCCCCACCGCCATGCCCACATGGACTGGGCCACCCACCAGCCTGCCGCTGCATCTGGGGGATCGCACTGCGTACAGTTCCTAACACTGCACCCCTGCACAAAGGCCACAGTGTGGGAGCCCGTTCTGGGGTTCCTCGTGGCTTTACCCAGCAGGCCCGAATAGAGGATGATCAGGACCACGGGCCTGAGTGCAGGTGTCTGAGATGGTCTGCACTTGGCTGTGCTGGGGGAGGAGGTCTTTTGCTCCACCCCTTGGCTTCTCTATAAAAACCAGAGACAGTCGGGGCCCATTGGAATAGGTTCCAGGCCCTCTCGAGGCTATCCTTTATTTTCCATCTGTTTATCTCTGCAAGATTCTCCGCTATAAATCCTTCTATCTAATATTTCCTGCTGCTCGCACTCAAGAAAACTCTGGGAAGCTGTGGGGGTGGTGGGTAAACGCCCCACACCACAGCACCACCCAAGAGGCACATTGAACTTTGTCAGAAATGCAATTGCAAAATCCAAAGTGGAGAATGTGTGGGTCGAACAACTGGGATCCTCAACAAAGACATGATATACAGAAAGCAAAGAGAGGGAGGGAGGCCACAGAATGCCCAAGTAAGAACCTTCCCAAACCTTCCCATCCAGAAAAGCAGCGACAAAATGGGCAGCTCCCTCCAACACAGGCTGAGACCACAGCTGTGGCTCTTTCTGATACCATTTTTTGGCATTGTCATCCCTGGAGATCTCTCACAAGAATTATTTGTACTAGGGCTAGAGAGATGGCTCAGCAGTTAAGAGTATATACTGTTCTTGAAGAGAATACATACTTTTTTAAAAAAGTAAAGTCCTGAAACTAGCCTCAAACAAATTATTGTCTGTATTGGCCCAATTCAGAGTTCCTCCAGTGACAACAGATATTTCTATGGAGGCATTTTTTTTAAAAAAAAATCAGTATCAATTGTTTAATATTGCAACTGTCTATGATTACGATAACGTTTGTACAGACAACAAGTGAATCAAAAACCCACAGAAAAGCTGGTGAGTAAGAAGACAGAAGCCAATGTGAAATATCTTTAAACATCTCCAAGAAGCTGGAGAGTCACTTTTATTTGTAGAACTATGTCCAAGTTCAGGATGGTGCATGTGCTCTGGAATACTTACAAAGGCTCTAAATATTTACCTCTGGCCCCCCATTAGACCCTGAACAAGTAGAAAGTAGAGGCTAAGCCAGATTTGTGGGCTTCTCAGCAGATGGATAAAGGCATGGCTTTGTATCACTCAAAGACCTGTTGGGAGCACAAAGGTCTTTGGGCTCAAAGATAAACACAAAGGAAACCAGGAATGTCAAACCTGCAGGATTGTTTCTTCAACGAGAGATTTGTATAACCTGTTTTCCCACACAGAAGGCTGGGAATGGAGGTGGTTAATAACCTGGAGATTTGTACTCTCTGTAGGACCAGGCTACACCAACCTCCCACTAGCAGGGCTGGAAGTGGCTAATAGTCTAGGTGACCTTTGCATTATCTGTATGGTCAGGGGCTCCCCCAAGCTCTCACAGCCAGGACTGGAGATACTTAATCATCTAAGTGACCTTTGTATTATCTTTATAGCCAGGGCCTCCTCCAAGCTCCCATAACCAGGACTGGAGATGGCTAATAATCCAAATGACCTTTATGCTATCTGCATGACTGAGACCACACCAGAGCCTCCCCTAGGCCCTTAAGATAATACATGTAGCCTATCTCTGGAATA